CTCGATCATAACTCGATCAAGTCGGGACTCGATCGTGACTCAATCACAACTCGATCGTGACTTGATCGCAACTCGATCGTGACTCGATCGCAACTTGATTGATTGATTGACCGATTGATTGACATATCAAGATCCTTTGCGATCGATCGTTGATTGATTGATTGATTGATTGATTGACAGACACACACGCACACATACCTCCGCATCTCGGCGTCGCCACCTCCGCTTCCCGCTCCCGCTCCCGTTGCCACCTCCGCACTTGCCACGTGGGACTATACAGTGAGGCCGCACTTGCCACGTGGCGTACTTGCTGCTCCCGCCGCCACCTCAGCACTTGCCACGTGGGACTATATGGTGAGGCCACACTTGCCACGTGGCGTACTTGCCGCTCCCGTCGCCACCTCGGCGTCGCCACCTCCGCACTTGCCCGTGGGACTAGATGATGGGGCAAGTACGCCACCTCGACGCCATCGCCGAGATGGCGTCGCCACCTCGGCTTCGCCATCCTGCTCCCGTCGCCACCTCGGCGTCGCCACCTCCGTACTTGCCACGTGGGACTAGATGATGAAGCAAGTACGCCACGTGGCGATGTGGAAAGTGCGCCACGTGCGATGTTTGGCACGTGCGAAGTGTGGAACCCATCGCCACCTCCGCTTTCCGATCCCGATCCCGCGCCCGTGGCCACCTTTGCTTCCCGATCCCGCTCCCGATCCCATCGCCACCTCGGCGTTGCCATCCCGCTCCCATCGCCACGTGGCGTCGCCACCTCGACGTTGCCATCTCGGCGTTGCCATCCCTCTCCCATCACCACGTGGCAAGTACGCCACCTGGGCGTTGCCATCCCGATCCCATCGCCACCTCGAGGTCGCCACCTCCGCACTTGCCATGTGGGACTAGATGATGGGGCAAGTACTCCACGTGGCAAATGCGTTCCCATAGCGGGGGATTCGGTGAGGGCGCACTTGCCACGCGAGACTATATGGTGAGGTCGCACTTGCCACGTCGCGTACTTGCCACGTGGCTTACTTGCCGCAAATGCGTGCTCCCGATATCGAGGGATACCGATATGGAGATTGGCCATATCGATATCGAGGGATACCAATATCGAGATGGGTCATATCCATATCCAGGGATACCGATATCGAGGTAAATTCTTTTGCCTTTTTTTTTTTCTTCAATGAATCGGTCAACCAATCAATGAATTATTAAGGATTGATTGATTGGTCAAATGGCGCCCAAAAAAGGGAGAGAGAGGGTGTGGAGAGAGAGAGGGTGTGGAGAGAGAGAGAGAGAGAGAGAGAGAGAGAGAGAGAGAGAGAGAGAGAGAGAGAGAGAGAGAGAAAGAGAAAGAGAGAGAGGGGAAGTCAACCTTTATATAGTGTTTCCTTGGGTTGACTTCCATCTGCACCTGGGAGCAGTTGACTCAGACGTTGACCCAGTC